TGTTGTCATTCTCGTATTTAAGTCCGTTTGTAGACTTTCACAGCTATGACAAACACCCTGTTGTCATTCCCGTATTTAAGTCCGTTTGTAGACTTTCGCAGTTATGACAAACACCCTGTTGTCATTCTCGTATTTAAGTCCGTTTGTAGACTTTCACAGCTATGACAAACACCCTGTTGTCATTCCCGTATTTAAGTCCTTTTTATATCCTAGTTTCATGCTTTTTTATTAAAGTGAATAGCATGACTGTTTGAGTTAATTAATAACTGCTGTCAACTGCACCTTTAGATTTTTTTAGGGACACCCGAAATATAAGAACTTGTTTTAAAATAAGTGATTACTGAGATTTCATAAAGTGTGTCCGTGAGGTCCACTCCTCCACGAGGATAAAATATATATCACTTGTAGAGAATTTGGATCTTATTTACAAATCAAAGATAAAATAATATTTTTCTCACTTATTCCTATTTCCGAGTTAATCTTCATATTATTTCATCAAGAGTAAAATTTTTCAACTCTTCAACAAACTTGGGAAACAGTATCATGGGTACATTTATATTTTGCAGCAAAAGCATTTGTTTATTTTCTAATGATAAAATTTAAACACATTGACGGACCTTTGTTGGTGATAACACTGAATATTGTGTAAACTGAGTTTGATTAGTCTCAGAAGTTTGTTTGTTTTTCACTTGTTAAGGGTTACAGCACACAAGCAGAAAATTAATGCCTTTAGGTTACTAATATGGATATCGTACTGTTTCATAGTAACTGACACCTAAGTAGGCTTAAGAGCTCATATTGGATTTGTTATTTAGATCTAGTTAACTGAGTTATTGAAAGACTACAGACAAAACCTTAGTTATATTATCCCTCCACACTAGATCTGGATGTGTGGTGGTCGGCTCGAGATAATCCCTTGCTCCAGAGTAGGCCATGTGTTTCGACGAAGAAGACCGTATGGCTCTCCATTTGGGGAGGACACGTTGACTAGGAATTCTCTGCGTGTTGCTCACGTATGGATGGACAAATATAAAGTAAGAACAATGATGTTTTCTAGTTCAAGCTCAATTTTGTTTTTATAGAAAGAGAACTGAAGAACACCTGTTGCCTTTAAGTATAATAATTTGTAACTGATAGCTGGTGGGCCTAAAATTCTTAATTTTTTAAGCCTTCTCTAAAACTCCCTAGAGTAAGAAAAAAAAATCTGTTTCCAGTCATCATTGAATTTCTCTTTTGTTTGTAACTGATAGCTGGTGGGCCTAAAATTCTTAATTTTTTAAGCCTTCTCTAAAACTTCCTAGAGTAAGAAAAAGAATCTGTTTCCAGTCATCATTGAATTTCTCTTTTGTGGTGGTGGTGATGATGTTGACTTTGAATGGTATAAATAACTGGTGATTTTGTGGTTGTTTGTGGATAAGCAGGAAATCATTTAGGTAAGAATGATGTTTTTACAGTAGAATTTTAGAAGACCACCTGACATAAGGTTAAGACATTATCCAGACAGATGGTAATATATATACCAGGTGAGAAATGTTGAGGTTGTAAGTACATTGTAATGATTTTATTAATTAAGAACAATCACTTTATTTGTAAATATCTTTATTACTATTATATGAATGAAAGTCACCATGTGTTTAACAGAGAATTTGTTCCAATTTCTTGATATATAGTTTTGGAAACCTCTCTACAATAGCCCTAGATGGTTAAAATGGTTAGCATGCTGAACCGTGAATCCAAAGGTCCATGCTTTTTGTCTTCTTGCTGCAAAATTTGGCTCCTAACTTCACCACTATGCATGCATATAAGAGTGACCGTAAAATACCACTGCTGTATTAGAGTATACCAACAGTTACTGTTGGCTAACTATCTTCGTTCTAGAGTATTAGTTCAAAATTATGGATTACTAATGTAGATAGCATGTAAAAAACAAATAATGTTTATGATGCTGTGATCTTTCAGGAATATTACTTCCAAACACGTGGTGATGTCAGAGACAAAGACTACGGAGACATAACTGAAAGAAAAAAACTTAGAGAAAAGCTTCGGTGCAAGTCGTTTGATTGGTATTTGAAAAATGTGTATCCCGATTTGGGTCCTCCACCGCCACCTAAAACAGACAAGGAAAAATTAAACCATGTTAAACAGAAAACACATAAAATAGGAAAGTTTATTGGAAAAAAAAGGACAAAACCAAGAACAATTTCTCAGTATCAAGTAAGATTTTCCTGTTTTAACCATAATAGGAAAATATAGAACAATTTCTAATTATCAAGTAAGATTTTCCTGTTTTAGCCATAGTGGAAAAATATAGAACAATTTCTAATTATCAAGTAAAATTTTCCTGTTTTAACCATAGTGGAAAAACATAGAACAATTTCTAATTATCAAGTAAAATTTTCCTGTTTTAACCATAGTGGAAAAATATTTAATTTTCGTGCAGCTTTATCATAAATTTTATATTCCTGATACCAAGAAGCGATGCAGGGTCAAATATAAATTACAAAACAAAAAAACCCAATAACCTTTGGATTATAAGGTTTCCTGTTTGTTTTTATGATACAGATAATATTTCAAATAGATTTTTATTCCTTAAAAGATCTGAGCAAGGGGGTCTGTTATTATTCTCACCATTACTATGTAGGAGCTGAATTGCTTTTAAGGATTTAAAACTTGTATGTATATTGTCAAAATTAAGAAGTCCTACTGATCTGTAGTAGATATTATATATCTCTTGCGAGGTTAGAGGTTAGGCCGTACTGAGTAACCAGCTTTTATTCTACCTTTAATTTAAGTATTTTTTGTCAAAAATTTAGTCTGTGAACTTAATAAAGTAAGCAAGTGCGTATGTACTATCATGCTGGCCAAACCTTCTTACAATGGGAGACAGACAGTAAAAGATAGTATGAATCTGGGATGTTGTGAGCTGAACATCTGCATTTTACATTTACAACATGTGAGGATTGAGTACGTTCTATTATAATTATTTTGAAACTTAGCCACATTGTAACAGTCCATATCATCACATCTGGTTATGCTCTGTGTGCTGAATGTTTATCTTGACAATAGGCTGCATTGTAATTTTTGTTTCAAATGGATCTCTTCTAATGCTGTCATGTTCAAAGCACACTGATCCTTCCTACGTGTTTTCCATAATCCCTAAAGTGTGTGAGGATGATGGTTTCCCAGCACCTATTTCAATCTTCCTGAAATCCAAGGCCTTACCGGTATGTCTTTGTATGGAAGAATATAAATACTTATTTCATTCCCCAGCTGCTTGAAGAATGCAACATAAATACTTATTTCATTCCCCAGCTGCTTGAAGTATGCAACATAAATACTTATTTCATTCCCCAGTTTATGTGCATACTTCAAGCAGTTATTTCATTCCCCAGCTGCTTGAAGTATGGAACATAAATACTTTCATTCCTCATCTGCTTGAAGTATGCAGCATAAATACTTATTTCATTCCCCAGCTGCTTGAAGTATACAACGTCTGAACAGAAAACTATATGCAACATCTGAACAGGAGGTATCATTGTAATCTATATCCTGGGAAACCCATACCCTCATTTTCAGATGGAAACCCTTGATTGTATTGTGTATTGTTGCCAGGGGTACGACTACAGTTATTATGTACTGTTACTAGGGGTACGACTACAGTTATTGTGTACTGTTACTAGGGGTACGACTACAGTTATTGTGTACTGTTCTAGGGGTACGACTACAGTTATTGTGTACTGTTGCTAGGGGTACGACTACAGTTATAGCCACTGACCTTTGTGTTCATAGATTCTTGCCTGTTACGAGATGCCACACTTTACTTATCACTGCTGGGGTATCATTTGTTGCATGTTTTTGTTTTTTTTAGATAGTTCTAGTGTTATAAGTTGAGTAGAAGCAACATGTCTGTCTTGAAATTTGTAAATCCTCAATATAAACACATCTTTATGGCCCAAGTGTATATATATTTTACATTAGAAAGCATTGTTATATATATATATATATATATACCCTTCCTAACAATGCCAAGTAATGTCAAATGTACTTCTGATACATTCTGTTCCACCATATCAGTGTGATTGTCACATGATTTGCTGATTTAAAATGATTGTACTACAGCCTACTCAATCGTTGAATAATGTTGATCTTTAGTTTATTTCCTCATTTGGTTGTACTGACCCGAGGTTTTAAATTTATGTAGTTAATATTCATCACAGGGTTGGAAATGCTGTTCTCCCTTCGAGATAAGTTCATTAAATTGCTTTAGCTCTCTTAGTATGTTTATATGTTTCCCAATTTAGATCCAATTGACAGGAACCAACTTTTGCATTGAATCAGAAGAAGACTTAACCACAAAGGGTTCATTACTGATACTACAGAAATGTGTTCGTACTAAACGACAGGTACGTTGTTAAAAGTTGATTGTGTAGAAGATATTGAACATATGAGCCAAATGGAGAAAAATGAAGAGAATTAATAGAACTCTTTAAGTTAAGTAGACTCAGCAGTGAACTAGTAACAGACGAAGATGCATTTCTGACATATTAGCATTTCAGGATTGTACATTTTTCCTTTTTAAAATGTTGTGTTTTTAATATTATGGCTATTTAGTATGTGCCTTGTTTACATTGGTTAATTTATATTGTATTAGTGTTGTTTTTTATTGTTTGAAAAAGTTATTTTGATTATTGATGTGCCATGTTTGAAGATTTACTGTACCATAAACATGTTGATTATGAAAATGTTTCTTTCATTTCATCAAGATAAATACTTATACTTGAGCACCATCTGTTGGTAGTTCTGTACATTACTGCCATAAAAGTTATGCTTATGTTGATCTAGAACATTGTGATCACTGTACTTTTAAACTATATTGTTACATTTACTTAATAGTTATTGGAATAAAATAATACATATGTTTGTATTTGTAAATTGAAAATAATTGGCTACTTTTATAAAACCACTGGGTTTTGGCACTTATGTAAGTCTATCTGTTAACACAACTTTCAATGTTTTTTAAAAATTTGTTTTCTGATGTGTTTCTGTGTTCTGTAGATTTAACACCCGGTGTGAGTTGGGGAGACACATTTGGTGGGTTGATTCCCAAACAAAACTTTCTGGTACTTTTCTTCTTTTATTTTCAACTTTTGAATAAAGGTTTGAGTTCCTAGTGATGTCTGGAATCTGATTTCCCCACCAACATGGCTAAATTTGCACTAGTTTCTAGACTGTCATGGAGTAAAAACCCATACCACAATCCATATCCTGTGCAAAACACGGGACTGTGCATGTTGATCTGGTTTCTCAGCTCAAAAGAGCCATTTTTTCTATAGTTTTTAAAAGTTCTTATGATAGAGGTGGCTCTGGAAGGCTCAAAAAAGCTTACTTGTCACTGTAAGGTGACTAAGTGTAATAACTTCCTGAACACTTCTGCTATTTTGTGAAAGAGAAACACAATCCAGTCAAACTCCTAATCTCTGCATCTTTGTGGCTGAATTCTATTGAGAGGCAATAAAATATATATTTTTTTTAAGTTAACAGATCAAGCTTCTTTTTTTTTAGGAGCACATTTTCTTGGTTGGATACTGGCAACTAACATCCCTCCTTAGCCCACCCAATCCCCCAAATTCGGTCTTGTTGACTCACAGATAGTGTTAAAATGAAATATTTTTATTATGTGAATTATTCTGAGTAACTGAAAATATTGTGCGACTGCAGATATGGCACGAGACTGAGAAGAATGACCTTCGACTGGCCGAGCTTCTCTGTTTAGATGCTAAAGAAAGATATCCTCGTTTAGCAAAGTGTCACGAAATGGGTGGAACCCAAGATTGGAGACATTCCAGTGATGTATGTAAACATTATTATTTAAATTTGTGAATTTCAAATTGTTCATCCAGTATAATAAATAAACTAAGAAAGATTAAGTTTACGTTTCTGATTGGTGAATCAGAATACTGTTTTTTTGGACATATGTTACAAAAAAAACGAAAAAAAATTGTCATTGAAGGTGTAACATAAAGATTCATCTACATGGTTTCTGATTGACGAATCAGAATACTGCTTTTTTGGACATCTGTTACAAAAAAACGGAAAAAAATTTGTCATTGAAGGTGTAACATAATGATTCATCTAGATGGTTTCTGATTGACGAATCAGAATACTGCTTTTTTGGACATCTGTTACAAAAAAACGAAAAAAATTTGTCATTGAAGGTGTAACATAATGAGTCATCGTATCATAATTTATATTTTTCACAGTTACATGCAAATTTTGTCTTGTTTATATTTCTTACTATTACTGTAAAGTAGGTTTATGAATAACAATGTTTGTATTTTAGGGAAACTCCAAAAAATGTTATACTTACATTTACTGAATGGCAACATGAAGTTATGTGTGACAGTAAAACAAATTTTCACTTATTCTTTTACCTTACCCATAGTAAACGTAAAATAGCCTGCTGAACCACCTTCAAGGTTTTATCCAATAAATTTATTTTGGTAGAATTACAATGTTTCTCTCCTTAAAATGCTAAAATTTTGGATTTGATCTCTGTAGTGGGTGGCCTGGTGGTTATGGTGCTCGACTCACAAGCTGCAGGTTCAAATCCCCGCCACCTAACACAGTTGCCATTTCAGTTGTAGGGGTGTTATTATGCGATGATCAATCCCACTGCTTGTTGGTAAAAAGTAGTGGTGTCGACTTGCTGCCTTCCCTCTAGTCTATCGCTACTAACTTAAGGAGGACTAGTGTAGATAGCTCTCGAGTAGCTTTGTGTGAAATTCCAAACTGCAGTGGGCACACTGTGTAACTTAAAGAATAATAACTTCAGTGTAGTGAACAAGCTAAAATATAATTACAACCCATTCTATTTATGACTGTCTGCTTTACAATTTTTGTATTTGTGCAGTTCTATTTCCACTTTGCTTTAAAAATTAACACTGCCACCTGCAGTTAATAATTGAACTTGCATTGCAGCTTGGTAGAGCTGTGTATTTTGGAGTTGGCAATCCCATTTTGAATCCATATCGTACCACAAATTATTCTATGTACTTTAAGCTGTGGATGCATTATAAGAGTAACATTCAGTCCCTTAGTATGGATAGTATCATCCTGCTGACTGGTTGTTTTCCTGTTGGCTAGTCATTCAAAATTATAGATGGTTACAGACAGTCTTAGTAGCTTTGCCATAAATGCAAAATTATTTAGAAAATATATAGATTATTAAGTAGTATTTTTTGTTTTTTTGAATTTCGCACAAAGCTACACGAGGGCTATCTGTGCTAGCCGTCACTAATTTAGCAGTGTAAGACTAGAGGGAAGGTAGCTAGTCATCACCACCCACCGCCAACTCTTTTACCAAAGAATAGTGGGATTTACCATCACATTATAATGCCCCCATGGCTGAAAGGGCGAGCATGTTTGGTGTGACAGGGATTCAAACCCACGACCCTCAGATTGCGAGTCGAGCACCCTAACCACCTGGCCATGCCGGGCAATAGTATTTTGTAATAACCCTTGATACACTTAGTTTGATATTTCCTTTTTTTTTTTAATGTTTCTCTTTGAACTGCCTAATTATTATTTGATTTTAACATTTCTATGTTTACAGCTAAACACTCCATTTTACAACATGGCAGCTGGCTTGTGTTTGGGAGTGAAGGAGGAAAATTCTGGTGAACATCTTATTATGGAAATCTGTGAGATTCAGAACGTTAAGAAATGGAACCTTTTATTTCATAGATAATAGACAGGTGCTTCCATCTTTCTGTTTCTAAGACTATGATAATTCCTTTACATATTTAAGTACTTTTGTCTTCAGAAAAATGCTTATAATTTACTAGCAGAAAGAGAAAATGGTGTTTCTATTCTCACCATCAGAAGTGTTTTTTGTTTCCCAAAATAGAATATCTTATTTTTTGTCAGCATGTCAAAAGAAAGAAAACTGTTCCGTATTTTTCAAAAGAATCGCAAGTAATTCTTTGTTTGTAATGAGCTTTTATTGATAAAATTCAGAAATGTTGAAACTGTTCTCTAAACTGGCTGAATTAAAAGTAGCTTTAACTCAACTAATCTATAGTACTTTCTAAAATGTTCTCTTTCACGAGCATCGGTAATTCATCTTCTTTTGTGTTGTCACTGCTTTCTCGTAAGTAAGGAGACAATGAACTCGGTGTTCCTTATTTCTTTGATCCACCCTTCACTTACAAATGAGGTCAGAAAACTTGGGCTGCAGGATTGTAGCCCATTTAGTCTTGGAAGACACCAGTCATGAGTGATCAGTTGTACAAGCTTGATCCCACACCAGCACAAGACACCAGCTGTCCAAACTTGATCCCACACCAGCACAAGACACCAGCTGTCCAAACTTGATCCCACACCATGACAAGACACCAGTTGTCCAAACTTGTTCCCACACCATGACAAGACACCAGTTGTCCAAACTTGATCCCACACCATGACAAGACACCAGTTGTCCAAACTTGATCCCACACCATGACAAGACACCAGTTGTCCAAACTTGTTCCCACACCATGACAAGACACCAGTTGTCCAAACTTGTTCCCACACCATGACAAGACACCAGTT